AAGGAAATTCTTTTTTCTACATTTATTCCACTCAGTCCTTCACGCTATGCCATGGTACCACCCACTTTAAGAACGGACTTCCACCCATCAGGAAATTCTCTCTGAAAATACCCACAAAGAAAACACCCTTGAGTGTGCTTCACTAATCTTCTCCAGTGATTCTTAATCTAATAAAGCTGATGACCGAGACTGACAACCACATGTCCATACCTCGTCAACTTGAACTTCTAACTATCACTCTTAAAACATAACATTCCATCTCTGGCCCTCAAAGGCTCGTATCCACTTCATAATGCAAAATGCACTCAGTTTACCTACAGATCCATACAGTGTTAATGTTTCACCATTGCTCAAAAGTTCAAGTTCAGTGTCTCCTCTGAGACTAAGGCAAATTCAGGACTAAGGCCCTGGGCAATCAAACCAAGTTATACATTTCCAAGCTATAATGACAAACAGTTGACACTTTCATCCGAAAAGGGAGGAACAGTGGCATAGAAAGGAAGGACTGGGCCAAAAAAAGACTAATAACTAGACAGACAAACATTAGGCACTATAGCTCAATGTCTGGGATCCAGAGCATGTGGGAGTGTGATCTGAACTCCGAAGGGCACAGACAGCCCTGCTTCTAAGAGATCTGATTGTAGCTTATGTCTGTCTCCTTTCTCTTAAGCTGGCTGTTCTTACTGCTTTCCTTCACAGATATTCCACAGTCCTGCTAATCTAACATCTAGGGGTCTCCACTGCATGCATGGTTTCACTCTCACAGGATCAGATATTGCCCTCCCAGAGGCTGCTTCCTGGGATTCTGATATCGACACACACTGCCAGGAATCACAGACTTTCCTTTGAAACCCTAGGAGAAGTCTCTATGAAGCTGTAACTGTTGTATTATATATGCCTACAAAAGTAGCAACATGTGTATGATGCCAAGGTCTACCACTGCTAGAACTATCACTATGGCAGTCTATGAGTGCTTGGATGGAAGAACATGGGGAACACTTTCCTACACTGCCCTGTGGAACTGGGCTGCCACTGCTCCCTTTCCAAAGGAAGAAAATACTGATTTAGGCTCCTGTATAAGAAGTTTCGGTTTGCTACACTACAGGTGTGCAGAGCAGAGCAACTTCCATCATGGTGGCCAGAAAGAAGAGAGAGAGAGTGCCTATGTTAGTGGTCTCTCTCCTTTAATTGCATCTTGACTCTTCCTTGGTTCCCAGACTATGGAATAGTGCTACCCACATTTGGGGTGGGTCTTTCTCCCTTAGTTAATTCTTTCTGGAAAAATCTTCAGGGACATACCCAGAAGTATAATTTTCTAATCTCCTGGTCACTTCTCAATGCAATCAAGTTGACAATCAAGATTAGCTACCACATTCTTTAAAGAAGAGAAGTGAGGGCTGAGCTGCGGCTGTGTCAGCAGTGGCACGAGCCCCAGGATGGTAGCTGTGGATGAAATAGGAAATGTTCCCATGCACCCATGTTCTGAATAACTCATTTCTAGCAGGTGACACTACTATGGGAGACTGGAAATATTATGAGGTGGTATCTATCTGGAAGATGTAGCTCACTAGGGGTGGGTCCTTGGGTATACATAATGCCTGGCTCTTACTGCCTTACTCTTTGCTTACTGACACCACCGTAATGTGAACTAAAGGTGTTTTACGCCTTCCCCACCATTAATAGACTGAACCTGCTAAAACTAAGACAAACTAAATCTTTCCTCTTTTAAGCTGCTTCTGTGAGGTATTTTGGTCACAGCGATTCAAAAGCTAACATACTGTGGTCATGCTCTAAAAAGAAAAGTTACTGAAAAGAGCCTTCTGTACTTGGTCCCAGATATTTGAGACAGGTCCCCAGAGAGTGTAGAGTGGAGCTGATAAGGAATAAGGCATTGGAAATGAAGGAGCACGTGCTTTCTTTTCTCTTTCAGATAAGAGGAAGAAAGAAAGAAAGAAAGAAAGAAAGAAAGAAAGAAAGAAAGAAAGAAAGAAAGAAAGAAGAGAAAGAGAGACAGAGAGGGAGAGGGAGAGGAAGAGAGGGAGGGGGAGGGAGGGAGAGAGAGAGAGAGAGAGAGAGAGAGAGAGAACACGAGAACAGCTGGGCTAAGTGTGGCTAAGTTCCAGAGCAAATGACTAGGAGAAAGGCCTGCAAAGAAGAGGGTGGAGAACAGGGAGGTATTTAAGAGGGGCGGAGGCTGAAAATGGGCCTGGGAAACTAGGGCCCTGTATATAGAGTCATGGTACTGGGCTGCACAAGTACAAGGAAAGGTAGTTCTATTCCTTCATATAGCCTCCCCCACTCCCCAAACCACTGTTACACATTGGTTTCCTAATGGTGTCCCTCATGAAATGTCAATACCACATATACTTTGTAGACAGTATAGTATATGCACACATACTTGTGCTTTATTCATGAAAATAATACAATTTTCCTCATTCCAAACCTCAAACCAATTGTTACTTCTTGAGGCTCAGAATGCTACGTCCCTGTTAATATGAAGTATGGCAGGTGATGTCTGTGATGATTCAGTCCATGAATCAGGTGACTGTGTTCAGCTGTCTCTGGCAACCATGCAGAGGGGAACAGCGCAGAAGAGAAGTGGTTAGGTTTGCTGAAGGCTTAGGGAACTCTGGAGAGTGTGGAAGTGGCCAGGACAGGTCCCCTCTCTCCACAGTCTCCATGTACCTGCCAGCTACACTCACTGCATGGCTTTTCACCACTTCTAGAGTAGCACAATCCCCATCCTTCAAGACCAAGCCTTCCTTGGTACTCTGATTCTGGTTCCCTCTGGGTCTCCTATGACTTTGCTTCACCATCACCATCCCTTTCTCTCTGGGAACTTTTCTTTCAAACCTACACCACCCACCCAGAGCTCAGGGACCTCTGTGAAAAAGGGAGGGCAGAGATTGTAAGAGCCAGGTGTCGTGGATGACCACAAGGAAACAGTCTTCCAGGCTTCTGGGAACTTGCTCATATGAATTTACAGCAATGGTATCAGCATGCACAAGACCTATGCAAACTCAACCAGAAAAAAACGCAGCATAGAACTGGGGAAATGGGCAGCAGGCCCCTATCTTAGCCAAGGAAGTACTGGTAGCTGATCACAGCTGGGAGAAGGAAAGCTGGTCTTCTTTAAGGGAGAGATGGTAGACATGCTGACCAGGATCCAGTGGATGGAGTCACATTGAGGGACATCTGGGGACACAAACTTGACTCGATAGGCCTTAACATACATGACAGAATGCATGAAATCCAGGAGGTGGACTATGGGGGTGGAAATAAGGAAGGGGGTCTAAATATGATTTTGACGTATTATATGAAATCCACAAAACTTCAATAAAAATTTACAATGGAAAAAAAAAACCCCTACATCTGGGGTCAAGATTCAACTTCAAGGTCCTTATGCTCCTTCTAGAGCAGCTCTAGCCTTCTTTGCATCTGTACAGGTCAACAAAGCATTTACAGTCATCTTCTTGACTTCATCACAAGAGGATATATACTCCAGTACTCCTAGTGGATGTCTGAAACTGCACATAGTACTAAACTTTTAAAATATTTTTTATTCCCTATATATACATACATATTATAAAGTTTAAATCACAAAACAGTCACAGTAAGAGAGTAATAATAATGATTACTAAATAGCAATTCTAACAATATATTAGAATCAAAGTAGCATGTACGCTACTCCCAAACATCTTATTTTACAATATTGTATTTTCAGACCACAGTTTACTATGCGTGCCTAAAGAATGGAAAGGGAAACTGCACATAAAGAGAGGCTATTGTTTTCAGTTCTTCTTTCAAACCATTAGCACATGGCTTTGGACCCTCAATTCCCTTGCATTAAAATGTTCAGGCTTTGGAGTCAGACATGATAAAATGGAATCTTGACTCTTCCCCTTAATGTGTGACCACGAACAAATATCCACTCTGGAAAGCAACTGCACTTCCTCTACAGGGGTGTTGTGAATATTTATTAAGATGCTGCTATAGGTAGACTGACCATCTTAATGCCTGGCAAATGCTATAAATATCACCCACAATTGTTTTCACTATTACTAGTACTAGTCTTGGTATTGTAGTTTTTGTGTACATCCTCTATTCTTGGGCTCAAATGGTTTGGTATATATAAATACTTGATAAATTACTATGGAAAGACTAAATGAACATATAGGCACAGTAGGATAAGCCAATCAGACAGCAGCTGAGGAATGACATCATGGGGTGTGAGGTGTTAATTTTATGTGTCTATTTGGCTGGATTACATGACCCAGTTGAAGTTTTTAGTTTTTTTTTAAATGTGTATGAGTATTTTGCCTGCATTTATAGAAGTGCACCCATGTTGTGATATGCCTGAGGAGTTACTGATTGGAGTTACTGATGGCTGTCAGCCTCCATCTGGGTGCTGGGAATGGAAATTGGGTCCTCTTGCAAGAGCAACTAGTGCTCTTAACCTCTGAGTCTTCTCTCTACCCTAGTACCCAATTGTTAAATCAAACACTAGGGTATGTGTTGCTATGAAGGTGTCAAGTTTTTAAAAGAGATTATTCCTGATACTGTAGGATAACTGAGCCTTATCCAAACAGTTGAAGTCTTTAAATTTAAGAGGGAGGTTTCTTGGGAAGGAAGAAATTCAACCTCTCACCTGGAATAGCAACTCCTCCTGAGTTCCCAGTCTGCCCACCTGTTCTGTACATTTCAGAATTTCCAGCCCACAATTACGTGAATAAGTTCCTTATAACTCTCCTCTTTATATCTCTATGTCTATCCTATTTGTTGTTTCAGAAGCCTGACACATACAGGTAGCTTGTAGGACAGGAAGCCAGAAGGCTGAAGGCCGGAGAGAAAGCTAAGAAAGAAAACCACTTATTTCCATTGTCTTTTGTTTTCTTTTAAATCATGACCTAGAGTTAAGGATCAGTCTGTTTCTCACAAAGGGTAAGAAAGTGACATTAGAATAACTTTTAGAAACATGATTAAATACACAAAAATCTCACCTCCAGTGACCTATCATGTCGAAAGCCCCAGACACAAGCTGCAACAGATACCGGGGAAACAAAGAACAGTGGCATGAAGACCAGAAGCCAGAAATGGCTTCCTCTCTCAATCCTGTCACAGACCAGGACTTCAAACATCAGCAGGAGCAAGTGGATTCCAACAGCAATTAACATGGCTTTAAACTCCACACATGTTTCTCCTTCTGCTCTAAAAGGGGATGGGAGGAGAGAAAAAAAATCTGCAGTTCAGAATCTTAAATTAAGCTGTCCATGGCAAATACCAACTCACATTCACATTCTGATATTCTATCGTAAATCTGAAAAAAACACAAAGGAAATCAGGTAGAGAACTAACTTTAATCTTTATTAGACAGTCTTTCAAACAGCAACAAACAACTACATGAAAAGTAAACACTACTAAACAAGACTTTAATGTGCTCACTATATAAGCCACGATTACTATTGCAATGCATGTGAACACTTACTTTCAGAACTTTAAATTCAATTATAAGTTACTTCCAAGATTAGTCAAATGATTACTTCTATTGTGAAAAACTTAAGACATATCTTAAGTCTCATGATTCTCATTTCTCACAGAATTAAAAACATTAATCACATTTCATGTAATATTATAAAATAACTGTAGCTTTATCAAAGAATGTAGGTTATACTCAACAAGATATGGTAACTGTCTTAGATGTTACTTTAAAATGCAAGTAAAAGTACTAAATGTATTTTTTAAATCTTTATTTCATTATAATGAATCAAATCTGCAGTTAAAAGAAGATAAAGAGTTAAAACTGGGCTCAAACGAAAGTAGTTTAATAAAATGTATAAGTATTAACAAACATTTAATAGATTAATAATTGAAAAAAAGGTCACAAATCAGGAAAATGCTTATAATGCATTTGCAAGGCCTACAATGTTCATTCAAAATACAGACGAACATTTCTGACCTACATACCTTACGGATGATAAATACACCAAAGTTTAGAATGTAGAGAAGAGAAAATCACAGGTAATTCCTGTAGAACTCAGTAGTATATCACTGACAGATATTCACTGAAGTGACTGTGTGTATGCACAGCATATATTTAACCAACCATACCCGCATGCACACACATGTACACACCTCTTTTCCTTACTTAAAAAAAATCGTAAAACAGAGCAAAAAGTATAAATAGCTTTTAAATATCAATTAGTTAACTTCTCATCTTTTTTGGGGGGGGGCAACAGACAGCTATTAGAAAATTTTCTCATTAAAAAAGAGACATATAGCCACATAGGTAAATAATCTTTCAAAAAATTCCAAGCATTTTGAAAACAAGTCACACATGGGGGCCAGAGAGATGGATCAGTGTTTGAGTGCTTGGTCCACTTCCTGAGGACCAAAGTTCATTTCCTCGCATGCACATCAAGTGGCTTACAACTGCCAGTAACTCAGGGGAACAGATACCCTCTTCTGGCTTCCATGGGTAACTGCTCACACTTGGCATACACTCACACAGATACTCACACATAAATAAATATTAAAAAATAGTTAGGGGACTGGAGAGATGGCTCATTGGTTAAGAGCACTTGCTGCTCTTGCAGAGGACCCAGGTTCAAGTCCCAGCACCCACATCGTGGCTAGCAACCATTAGCAACTCCAGTTCCACAGGATCCAATGCCTTCTTTTGTCCTCCAAAGGCATTGTACAACATGGGTGCACTTACATAGATGCAGGTAATACACTCATACACACACAAAAATAATAAAAAAATAGTTACACATGTCTCTCACCTGCCAAGACTCTTTGTGTGTAACTTTTTAAAAGTCCTACATACCTATGTGATATGCATTTTACATAATTTAAAATGTAACTTCTTTTAAAGCTTGATAATCAAGAATTTTTAAAGCTGAATTGGCCCCAACTTCTATAACTCTTCCACATGAACAGCTGCATGTATTTCTGTCTCCCCTCCCTATTTTCCTACTGAGAACTGTTTCATTCCTCATATTCCTCATGAAGGCTTAAAATGGTTCTTACTCTCCAGTTCCCTCCTTTTCTCTGAGAAGGACAGGAGAAAGACTCTCACAGAGTCCAGCAATAACAGGCTGCCCCCACTGCCATGCCATGATCTCCAAAACTCTGCCTTCTTTCTCAGTATCTGGCTAGAAAACAAGAGCTACACAGTGCTTCCATGCTTCTACCATTTCTATAGTTTGTGTCTTCTGGGTTATACAGGCATTTGTGTGCTGTCTAGGCAATAAACCACCCAAAATAACATTTGTTTTGTAAGAAAACACATAACAAGTTTCTAACTTTTCTTTTTTGAGACAGCATCTCTCTGTAGCCCCAGCTGGCCTGGAATGCACTATGTAGACCAGGGTGGCCTAGATCACTGTGAGATCTGCCTGCCTCTGCCTCCCAAGTGCTGGGATTAAAGGTATGTACCACCACACCTGGCTCATAACAACCTTTAAAAACTCTGACAAAATCTATTTTCCCATGCTGTAGTTCTCAGAAAACTTCTAATAGGAAGAAAATGGTTCTTACTTTATCTCTGGTGAGAACCACCAAGATACTGCTCTCTCAAGATAGAGACCAGCAGGTTTTATAAAGCAGTATTACCGATATTGAGGATTTCGTGCCCAGACTCCAGTTCCAACTGATGCTCCAACAATGACCATTAACTTCCACAACCATATTGGAGCAAAGACAGCCCAGTAGCTCCACTGAATGATGCCATCCAGACGAAGGGCCAGTAGCACAGAGAACAGTAGCAGACACGCATAGATGAGGAATTTACTAGGACAAAAGCAAAATGATTAAACAGTTTTTTTTTTATTGTTGTTGTTCTGTTTTTAATATTTTTATTGAGTTTTTGTGTATTTCATACAATAGTTATTAATCAAATTTAGATACCCTCCTACCCCCATCTATGCCCCCATACATCCCCCCAGCAGACCTCATGCATTCTTTCATATATGTTAAGTCCTATCTGCACAAGCATTTGTACTCAGATGTCCTTTGGTGCAAGTTCATCTACTACAGTCTAGTCAGCCTATCTAGAGATCTTAAAGAAGATCTGCTCTCCCTCACCCAGTAGTAATCAGTTGCCAACAGTTCCCAGGCTAGAGCCAGGACCTACTGCCCATTTTCCTCACTCCATGCTAAGCTCTTGTCTAAGTGAGTCAAAAGACTGTGTGTGTATTCTTTTTAAACAAATAGCTGGTATAGAAAGGAGGAGGAATAACAGTAATATTCAGTCAATAATTCAAAAACTGTTTATTGAAAGTTTTCTGTAGAAGACATATTGTGTTGGGGATAAGAAAACATAAAATAGAGCAATTAGGTATCCTGCTACTGAAGGCTTCCTGATAGGAGTCCACACAGAAACACACAATTAAAATACTGTATAACATTTTCTGAAATGGTGTCATGGGCAAAGTAAGATAGGAGTTGGGAGGAAAAAGTGTGGATTCTGGCTGAGGGCAGTGTGAAGAAGGGAAGTAGTGACCATGGCGCTACTTCCAGAAGATAACTGGAGGGCTTCCAGGCAGCAAAGCAACTTAGATGAGGAAGCATCCCAAGCAGAAGGAGCTACCTATACTATAATACGGAGACTGAAAAAAAAGGTTGAAATATTCAGCATAAGATCAAACTCTGTCACTGATTATTTGATTCTATTCTTTAAAAAGTACTTCTTCTATTTTAATAACCTAATTAAAAAAAAAAAGAAAAGAGCCAAGCATGGTGGCTCAAACACGTAATTATAGCACTTAAATGGTCGACGTAGGAGAAACACTGACTTCCAGGCCACCTAGGGCTAAATAGTAAGTTCTAGGCCAGCCTGTGCTACAGTGTGAAACCCTGACTCAACAAAGCAAAACAAAAGGGTCTGGAGAGATGGGTCAGTAGTTAAAAGCACTTCCTGCTCTTCCAGAAGACCTGAGTTCAGTTCCCAGCACATATGTCGGGCTGCACACAAGCAGCACACGATTGCCTGTAACTCCATCTCCAGGGAATCTGATGCTATGTTCTGGACTCTGAGGGTACCTACATACACGTGGCATATGTTCAGCCAAAAACACACACATACACATGATAAAAAATATATCGTTAAAAGATAAACAAATCATAAAAAAGGAAAAACAAGCAGTCATTTGTCATGCTCCTATGGCATGTACATTTAAGTGTGTATGCATATATATATGTATATATATGTGTGTATATATATATATAGTCATACACATGTACATAGTACTTTCAGTGGTTGAGTAAATTACACACACTTATACATCTATATACATGTTTAAACACTTCCATAGATGTCTTTAAAATAATAATATGCAGGGATTAGAGAGATGACTCAGCAGTTAAAAGCACTGGCTGCTCTTACAGAGGACCTGGGTTCAACTCCCAGCACCCATTTGGCAGCTAACAACCATCTGTAACTCCAGTTCCAGGGGATTGATCACCCTCTTCCAACCTCCTCAGGCACTGCACAACATGGGTGGACCTACCTACATGCAGGCAATATACTCATACACGTAAAATAAAAATAATAAATAAAACGTTAAAATATATTAATAGTAAAATACATTGTTAAGCACTTCTCCTTCCAGCCTTGATATAAAAACAGGAATATTATTTACCTTCACTCCTCCTAGGACCTATAGGCAGATAATTATTCATAGAGGGCACAGACTCATAAGGCCCCACCACTCCCTGACTATAGGTGCTAAATGGTCATTCAGTGGTGTAACCACTAGCAAACATCCCATGCTCCTGAAAAGAATCCCTCACTGGGGACCCTGTAAGCAACCCTAATGATATTCAGTGTATCATCAAATTAAGGACATAAAAGTGGAACAGGGACTAGATGGGAAGAGGAAGGTGAGCAGCGGTGGGATTAGGAAAAAAAACAGGAAAGGGTAATAGGGAAGAATGTGGTAAGAAATGAATAATGGGGGTGGAGAGCTAGCAGAGTGGTTAAGAGCACTTCCTGTTCATTGAGAGGACCTAAGTTTGGTTCATAGTGCTGAGAATCTGTAACTTCATTTATAGGAGATCCAAGCCCCTCTTGTGGCCTCCATGGACACTGTATGCATGTGGCACATTTACATAAGTGCAGAAAAAAACACACATTAAATAAACAAATTAATAAATCTTTA